CCACAGTTTTTAAGCCTTTTCAATCTCTCAGATATTGTGGTACAAATTTGCTCTTATCTCACTTTTTTTTTTTAATGAAAGTGCTACCTAAATTTGAAGTGTTATTTGAACATACACAACTTGTTACCACTTCAGATGATGAAATTCCTATCAAAGTGCTTGGCAGGTTAGTAAACTTTTGTAGTATCCTCAAGAACATTCTCTTAATTTGATCACTTGTTTAGGGGATACACATGCCATCTACTCTTTAAATTGGTCTGGGCACTTTACAATAGCTTCCTTTAAAAGAATTAAAAGCATAACACACCAAACAAAACTGTAGCATTAAATGTTGAGTCAATAAGTATGCTTTGAATCCCCTTCTAAACTAAATTAAGAAGGGGGAGTTCAACTGCAATAGCAGTTTGTTCTGTAATAAGAGACCCGCTATAGAGACAGTGGCTTATGAGTTCTTCCTATTCTTGCAACGTTATTATTATTATAGGGGCTCCCACCAAGAACCATTTCTCCTGTGCTCAGCAATGTACCTGGGAGGCATGAAGAATTTTGCATGCTATATTTTCTATCAGAACACTGGACTTAGCCATGTAGCCACTAGGACCTCCCAGATTTTTCAAATGTATTTATTTACTTATATAGAAAATGTATAGCCCATATATTAAATACTTAACTCTGGGTGGCGAATAGTCCATACAAAAACAATATAGAAAACCCACAACCTATTTCTTTGATTTATTTAAAGGATTTATATGGCCATCCATCTTATGTGCAATAACCCTGGGTGGCTCTCAACAATAGCCAATAAGAACAAGAGATAGAATAGCAATCCCACACAATATTAAAAAAAAAATCATACTCCCAACATCGCACACAACACTACCATCCCAACTACATACTGCAGGGCTTAATTCCCATCCTAGCCGAACCTTTCGGGGAACAGCCAGGTTTTCATGGCCTTCTGGAAAGCTAAGAAGATAGGGTCCTCTGGGTCTTGGGCAGAGGCTGTTCCCTAAGGGCTGGAACCACTATGGAAAAGGCATACTTCCTAGGTCTAGCCACTGTCCTACAAGTGACAGCATTTAAGAAAAAGGGACTTGTAGCATGTCCACCCCTATATAACCTGGTAAGATGGGCAGAAACCCTCAGCAAGAGGCAGTCCTGCAGATAACCTGGCCCCGTGCTATTCAGGACTTTAAAAGTGATAACCAGCACCGTGAACTGCACCTGGAAAGAAACTGGGAGCCAGTGCAGCTTGCACAGCAGCGGTATAACAGGCAAGCCATGAGACACAGAGAACTGTGCACACTGATGCATTCTGGACCACTTGAAACTTCCGGGTGGTCTTCCAGCACAGCCCCATGTAGACTGTGTTGCAATAATCCAGTTGGGAAGTGACTAAGACATGAGTGACCCTGAACAAGGCCTCCCAGTCCAGGAATGGGCACAATTGGTGCGTAAGTTGGATTTCTGCAAAAGCCCCCTAGCCACAGCTGCCACCTGCTCCTTGAGCAAGAGCCATGAATCCAGAAATTGTGCACCAGCTCTGTTCAGGGAAGTGGTATACTGTCAACAATCACAGATTACAACTCTCCGAATCCAGGAGGGCCAAAAACCCAGAGCTGCTCCATCTTGCTTGGGTTGAGTTGCAGCGAGTTCTTCCCCATCCAGGCCCGCACAGCCTCCAGGGGACACACCCATACACACACCCTGCACCCAGCCAGGTTTTAGTAATGCATACCAGGTCGATCCTCTCATCCACAATCAAATCAATTAAAATAATCCAATTCAGGAAACAATCCCAGCACCACATAGCAATTCCATAAAGACAAGTACATGTATATTGGGCTCCCCTAACATCTTGGCCCTAATGCTTGGGAGGAAAGCCAAGTTTAAATAGCTTTATGGAAGGTCAAGAAGATGGGGGCCATCCAAGGCCATTCCATTAAGCAGGTGCTGTGACTGAGAAGGCATGCCTTCTAGGTCCTGCAAGAGGCCACTGTCTGATAGGGGGGACTTGGAGCATGCCCACCCTCTGATGGGTGATCTGATCTGGTGGAATGTTCACAAACCCTCAGAGATAGACTGTCCCACAAGTAACCTGACCCAGTGCCATATATGGCTTTAAAGGTGATAAACAGCATCTTTAACTGCACCTGGAAGCATGTTGGAAACCAGTGTAGATTGCACAACAGTGGTACTGCATGGATGAACTTTGGAGTGCTCAAAATTGTGCATGCCCCCACATTCTGCACCAGTTGATGACCATGTTAATCTAAATTATACTGTTTATAAGTTGAGTAAAAATAACTTATTTAATCAGAAATTAATGATTGTAATAAAATCATGATGATTGTTAATTTCAAACAAATTTGTGGTGGGATCTGAGAAAACCTAGAAGTACAAAGTCGTTTGCACAAGAGTAGGCAGTCCTATAAGTAAATTGGACCTAAGCCATGCAAAGCTGTATACACCACTGTAAACATGACTTAGGATTTTCAGTGTAATTTTTCAATGTAACTCACTGAAGACAGGTCTTCTTTTCAGGCATGGATACATCTTATTTATAATAATGAATAATGAAAGGCTCTCCTGAGGCTTTCTAGAGAGTGTTGAAGGACCTCAAGACTATAAATCTATTCCTTACTTTACTTTACTGAATGGCAATCCCACAAAGGATATATAGATCTTCTAAATCCTGAAGTCCTTCTTGGTCTAAGAGCCTGGAAGGCAAGACAGTATCATTATGGACAATCGTAAGAGTCCCTTCCCAAAATAACAGGACCCTACCTCTCATACCAAAAAACTGGCTGACAGTAAGTGGACCCAAAAGGGCCTCCACCATTTCCTGCTAGATCTTAATATATCACCTACAGCAATTGTTGCTCATTACTCAAACAGTGACCAGACATGGGCTCCCATTGGCAGTGAGGTAGGGGTGGGGCAAGACGCAAAACATATGTCATGGCATTATGATGCAACTATTATGAGTTTAGGTACTGTATTTGCCTAAGATGTCAAGTTGCAAAATATAAGAGTGGGATTCCAGTCATCTCATGATCACATGCAAGTCATCAGTTTGCTTGCAGATGCTCATGATCCCAGAGTGCCAGTTTCTCGGGAAGAGAGATCAAAGTTCTCCTTCTCAACATCTTCCAATCATTTCTTAATTCATGTTCTTACCATTTAATCCTCTTACATTCCAAGCTGAAATCTTCCATAAACCTCAGTCATCTTCACAGGTGCCCACAGATAGCAACCACCTCTAGCTATCACTGCTTTGGTCAATTAAGGCTTTCATAACACACTTTTAGTAAGATAGAGGAGTAGAGTCGGCTGCCAGCCTTAGTTGCGAGTATATCTCATGAAGCATTTCATACTAACAGCAAGGGCAGCACTGGTCAGTTTTGACACATTTTGGTAGTATGCTACAAGGGCAATCATAGCCCAGTTTTATCGCTGTTCTATGCAACCTAGGATTTCAAATCAAGTTATTACTACGCAAGCCAACTTTTGCCTGTATCCCACTAAGCAGGATACAGGAATGTATTAAAACACTCAGGACGAAATTAAATGTAAATAAGTTTAAATTTTAATATAATCAACATAATTTGTTCTTTTTGCATTTCATATATAGTGGAACCTCGGGTTACAAACGCTTCTGTTCACGAACTTTTCGGGTAACGACCAGCTCCGGCCGCAAAATTTTGCTTCGGTTCGCAAACTCTGCCTCGGGTAACGAACAGGACCCGCGGCCATTTTCCCTCCCGTGACACAGTTCGCGGCCATTTTCCCGCCCGTGACACGTGTCCGTGGCCATTTTCCCGCCCGACACGTGGTCCGCGGCCATTTTTCCACCCGACACGTGGTCCGCGGCCATTTTTCGCCCCTGACACGTGGTTGTAGGGAGGGGGACTCTCCCTCCAAGCAATAGCCACCTCCCTGTCCTCCATGCCAGAACGGATTAACGGTAATTTCATT